AGTGTACAAATAAGACATGGCGACCCAGTATGCAAATGAGACATGGCGGACCAGTTTACAAATGAGACATGACGATCTAGTATCCAAATAAGACATGGCTGTCCAGTATGCAAATTAGACATTGCAATCGAGTTTGCAAATAAGAAATGGCTATAGGCTATCCAGCATGCAAATGAGACGTGGCGACCCAGTTTGCAAATAAGACATGGCTATCTATTATGCAAATGGGACAAATAGGCTAATATTGCATGTAGATATTTCTACCATTGTTTACGGTATATTACACGTAAAACGCTTTTTTTGCAAACGTGTTACATTAACTAAATTGTTTGGGGTTAATCGTTTGCGTAACTCAAAGTTATAACCAGTAAAGTAACATTTTTGTCAAAATTGTCAAGGAAGCCCACCCCTTAAAGTGATTTAAACGTTTTTGCAGGATAAGAAACCATGGCGAAATGAACCTACCATTGTGACATATTACACGCACTACTATTAGTACAGTTTTATCAGCACTGCTTTGATTTATGAAAATGTCAAAAAATTACCCCTTGTCAATTTGAAAACATAATTTATGGACCGTTTGGGTGCCTTGCATACCCGTTAGTAGGTTTCTACTAGTGACCCCACCTCCCCGGGCTGCTTGTGGCAAGGTCAGTATGAGTTTGCAAAGAAGATAAGAGCGTCAAAAACTAATAAGGCGAAGGAAAGCTTAATAATTCCGTTATTGTAAACCTTTTTGTGTCATTTGAAATCAGCTGCCAAAGAATTTACAGCGATAAATAATAATTGCAGATTATATAAATCATATTTATCAGAATTGTACTTTGTAACCGGTCATCAAGTGGCAGAAATAACTGATTTTTTTTCACGAAGTCTCAGAAACTGTTACGAGTTTGCGTCACATGCACGCTTGAAGTGATATCCTGATTTATACAGTTTCATCCGACACATTGGAAACCCTGGTTTTAACTCAAATATTGACATTTTAGTTTCTATGAGCTTTCCGGCGATAAAATGTTTGAAAATCTCCATTTTTTCTGTGGTGATGTTTGCCTCCTGTAGTTTCCAGTCGGTGCACGGAGGAACAGATCGCAGATGAATATTTTTGGCAAAATTTGACGTTTTCACATGCAATATTTCGAAGTTTCATTTAAATCGACTATTTCACATTTAATTGATCTTTTTGAAAGTCGGAAATGTATGTTAATTACACTACAGGTGCAACAGCTGATCACTGACCGCGTACCCTTCAATAACGCTACATGTATATACTTTATGGGGACCGCGTTAATTTCTTTCAATGGAAACGAGTCGGGTACCTCGTCTTTTTTGTTTTTATGAAACCTTTCACCTTCATAAAAAATGTATTTATAGACAGGTGCTCTTAATATGGAGGTTGTGTTATTTTTTTATGCATACTACTCATCCTACTCATTCATTTGACATATTACTTGAATGAAATAAGCTGCTGATTAGTGAGTTTCAAACGGGGTTATTATACCATATAAGGTAATTCGTCCTGGATTATTTAAACAATGATGAACCCGTCACAGTGTCATATTGGACGAGGAGATGAGTATATGGCAATTGACTGTGTTAGGCGATGCTGTTGTCTAATCTGTCTAATGTGTGTTTTGTCGATTGTAGTCAGTCGTTTGTTTTGTGTCGTGGTTTGTATTGTCCGTATTGTAACAGTAGTTTTTATGATATGTATTCTGTATTTAGTCTTTTTGTTCAATGTAACCATATTAATTCGCCAAGGGGGATTTTGAGCTTTAAATAAAGTAATGTAAAATACTTGTGGTCAGTCTTATTTCTATGTTATTATATAATTACATAATAATAGTCTTCATTCATAAATAATGATAATTATAATAATATATAATGTTATTATATTTTAAATTACATGAATTAAAAGTATGTACACAAAGAAACTTGTCTTTTTGAC